CTCCCTTTGGCAGCCATCTAATGGTTACAAAAATCCAGGGGAAAATCTTTCTACTTCTTCACCCCTGTGATTCTAGGATGATTTTGAACTCGTGGGCATTTTCACAGAACTTGAGGAACCCAACTACCTGTGGAACAGGTGTTTTTACAGCTGCATTCTAAAGGGCAGGGAGCTGAAGTAGTCATCCAAGGTCACCCAGCCAGACAGTGGCAGAAAAAAGTTTAAACCCAGGTCTCTTGCCTCTAAGTCTAGATCTTTCTGGGCTGCCTGATTCATGGCCACCTTCTGAAGTGTTTCATTTCTTTCCCCTCTGACCCTGTGGAAAAAGGATGCACAGAAGGGCATAATGTTTTGATACTTGTTTTCACTTCATACAATGAAAGACAAATTTCTGGGAACTTTACAAGTCCCTCTGTCTTTCCATTTTTCCTAATGTTGGCCTCTGCACACTTTCCTTCAGCTCGGACTGCCTCCACTTCCAGGGCTGCCTCATTTACCCTGCAGTGGACTAAAGAGGTTTTGCCCTTGCAATCTTCGACCTCTTCCTCCCTTCCTAGGAATGAAAGAGAGTTCATGTCAGAGCCTGTGGAGCTTAAAGAACATCTCCAGTTCTTCCTTAGCTCCTTCCCACAGAGTCTGGAACCTACTGTTATCTGCTCTACTTAAATTCTACTTTTTTTTCCCCTGGAAGGAGGAGGCACTCATTCTAATTTCCAGAAGTTGGTGGCAAGAGAGCTGGCATTCTTTCTTCCCTGCCTCATAAACACTTAATCCATCTTTCTGGCTCTACTGACCCCCTGAATCTGATAATCCAAGGCAAAACACACAAAAGCAGATCCTTTCTGAACATGTACTATGTTCAAAGGGTTGCAACAGCTATAGCTACCACTTAATCAGGGACATGTGATGGGCTAAGCAGGGGACACTACTCATCTCTGATGTCTGCAGCCACTCTGTAATGGTGGCCACAGTTGTTTCCAGGTTACATGAGGAAACTGAGGCACAGGGAGAGAAAATGACTTACCTGAACTAACACAACTAAGCAGTGTTGAGGCAGGAATTTGAACCTAGCCCCTCAGCCTCCAAAGCCTGTACTCTTTCCACTATCCTATACTGCTCCCCTCAGGGAAGCAGATGAGAGAAACCATCATAGGCTTTTCTAAAGATGCCCTGCTTTTCCAACTCACAACCTTTTCTCCTGTCTGTGTTGATGCACAGCACACACACACCCATCTCCTGTCTGGGTGTCTCCTACAAAAGTTTTGTTTTTATAATTAAACGAGTTTTAAATACTGTATCTGGTTTTTGTTGTTGTTAGGTGCCACTGAGTCAATTTCGACTTATAGCGACCCTATGTACTACAGAATGAAACATTGCACAGTCCTATGCCATCCTCATTCTCCCTTTCCTCCTGCTCCAATAACCGACTGGGGATCCCCCAGCAGGACACTGGCTACGCCAAGGCAGGAGGCCACCACGCAGGCTCCCCAGGCCTCTTTAGTTCTGGCACCATTGTTAGTGGGTCCGAGCCTGAGACACTCTCCCCACCCAGGGATAGAGTGGATTAAAAACCTCAGCTAATTCCAGGGGCAGTGCTGTCGCACCCAGACCCCATACATGCTCCAGCTATTCCCCCACCCATGCTGCAAACCCGACCACAGCCAGCACATGACCATGCAAAACCTCCTGTCTAGCCCCCCACCCAAGGCAATTTGCCCTCAGACCCAGCCCTAGCCTTGGGGCGTCCCACACTGGCTCTGGGCACGACGACAGGATGTGGGGACAGCAGGTGCTCCACCTCTGGGCACGAGGCCACCCGGATGGGTTTCACCCAGCACAACTCGTTTTTCAAATGTCCCAGTTTCAGTCTCTCTTCCTGTAAGCTAGGCCAAATTGTCCACCCCCAGATTTCTGCCCCCTACACCATGGGCTTGACTGAGCAGTGGCTGGGCTGCTAGGGTGGACACCAGCCAGGATAGCTGGGAAGGCAGGAGAGGGAGGCAGCGTCAGGTGCCTTTCAGAACCAAGCACCGATGGCCCTGTGCTTCCTGCTCACGAGCCCTGAGAACAGAGTGCTGGGCTGTCCCTCTCCTGGCCTCCCTGGAGAACAGGCTGCCCCCTTGGCTCCCCTGCAGTCTGCTGCCTGCCCAGTGTCAACCAAGCAGCAAGAATTAGCTGCAGAGCATAGGAGCCAGAGAGAACCACTGAACCAAATGCAGATCTCCTACCCACGTCCCTTCCCAGCAAGCTGTTACATTTTCTAAGTCATCGGTGAAGACCTACTATGTGCAGGGTTGCTTGTAGGAAGAGAGGTAGTCAGGAGACCACATGGGTAGACAAGTACCATATAAGGCAGAATATGATGCCAAGTGATTATGCTCACACCAGGCACTGAACTCTGGGCTAGGGTTTCAAAGAAACACACAGATCATTACAATTTGACATGGACAGGTGCTCCAATATAGGTATAAACAGGGCTTTAGGAAGGTTCAAGGGTGAAGTTTTCAGGGCAGGGAAGGTTGCCAGGGGCCCATCCCTCCCAGCTCTCAGCAGGCCCTCACTCCAGTGAGAAAACTGTGGCTCAAAGAAACCCCTTAAACCCAAACGTGCTTCTCAGCTGAGGTTAAACAGCTCACCCCTCTCTGATTCTGATGACAAGTGTGCATGTTGAAGTTTCCTTTTGGGCTTTTCTATTTATGTTGTCATTGATTACTTTGCTCCTAACTCATCTGATTTCAATTTGGACTGATTTGATCCTAATTTTATTACCATGTAATCTGAATGCACATAATTACTGTAATTATGCTGCTGAGGGAAACAGCTCCTCCACGGGCGGGAAGACCTAAATTTAGGGCTTCCTGGCAAGGGCGGCCTTGTTGGGGTGGGCCCACAGTTGCCTCTGTTAGGAGCTGGCAGCCGTTAGGAGCACAGATGCCCACTCCCCCCCTCCCCCGCCTCCCTGAGGGAGATGGGTATTTTGGGCCCCTTCAAAGTGATGGGTGGAGGCCTCTCTCAGAAGCCCTGGGGACAGCAGGGGCCTGGGAGCCCATCCTCTCTGCATCATCTGGCTCACATTTTCACCTTCTGCTGCATGGGTCAGGCTAGGTTGCTGCTTTTTGCTACTGTCCACATGCTACCTATACCCAGAGTGCTGTTCACAGGGCACCCTACCTCTAAGGTGCAAGATGCCAACAATCTTCTAAAAATACTTAAGGGTTCCCACTAATCACAGAACTGGGGAAGGTAAATTGGGCCTGCCGCAGGCCTGTGTGGAGCTTCAAAGCACTCTAAGCCCAGACCAAGGCCTCATCCTCCACGAAATCCTTCCTGACTGGTCCAGCCCTCTCTATACTTTGTGTCATTTATGTCACATCTGAGGAAGACTATTATTGTTTCCATTAAACAGATGAGGAAATTGAAGTGAAATAAAGTTAAGTACCTTATCAAGACCACTCTGTGTGTGGGCAACAACACACCTCACCAGTAGGCCGTGTCGCCTCTCCTAAACATCTAGAGCCCCATTATAGGACTGTCCCTGAAATGCATGTCTTACATAATTCTCCCCAACTAGAATGGAGCTATTCCAGAATGAAATGCCTGGGTGCCAGAAGCCATGCTCTGCCCCTCCTGTATCACTCACAGAGGGGATGGGCCCCAGGTGGGCATTTCAGACACACAGGAGGTCTGAGGATCCCGGATGAAAAGGAAAATGTGCTATTTCCAGCCACTCTTCCCTGTGCTAGGGAGGCCATTCTCTCTGTGGCAGAGAAAACCCAGCCCCCTGGAACTGTGAGGCTGGGACCAGGAGGAGGGGTCGGGGCAAGCTGACAGTACTTGTGGGGGGCTGGCTGGGTTAGAACATGGTGTCTAAGGAGAACTTATTACTCCCTTCCCTTATTGGACACCCAAAGGGAGAAAAGTGGCAGGTGGAATTGTAAAGTCTGCTGGTTATGCAGTGGCTGCTGTGTACACCTGCTGGGCACACTGACAGTGAAGAGTGGGTAAGGGACATCAGGACAACTGGAAGCTGGGGAGTACCACTGCCAGAAGCAGCTCTGTCTCTAAGAGACTAGGCCCAGAGGCCAGTGAAAGCCTGAAGAAGAGGAGATGTGGGGGTGGGAGTGGACAGCAATCAGGAGGGATAGGTTATACACCTGGTCTGAGTCACTCAAAAAAGTAGAAACAGGACTATCTTTGACTTTGAGGGGCTAATTTAGACTTCAGAAAGGCAGGACTGTCAGGAAATGAGCTCCCAGTCATGGGAGGTATTCACACAGAGGCTCTAGCCAGGCCCTGAACTATAGTTCAAAGGGCTACTTTGCCATCCCTGGGGCCGAGTGCTATGGGCCCAAGAGCTCTCCATAGGCCCAGAGCAGCAGCCAAGCAGAGCCTGGAGTGGTGGGGACCAAGGCAAGGTTGGTGCTCTGGACTCTGGCCGCAGTGCTCTTGAACCACTACAAGCTATTGGTCTTCTCAGGGGTATGCATGAGCCTGCAGTAAAGACTGCTAGCCTGGGAAAGGGTCACCCCTTGAGTTAGTCTCCTAATAGTTTAGCTGCCTCAGCAGAGCAGGGAGCACAAGCAGGGACCAGGGTCGGGGGAGGGAGGCTTATGTATTGGATATCAGATAATGCAAAGCTCCTTAAACAAACAGTGTGGCCCACTTGTCTACTACCCTCTGCTGGGCAGGTTGGTATTGCTGCACCTCTGTTTGCCCTATATTGACTCTCTGGAGACCACATTTCAAGGCTGAACCACAAACTGATCCATCCTGAGTCAGAGGATCTGCCACAGAGAGTGGGGCTAGAGTTTTCCTCAGAAGCCTTTTTTCCACCCCAGGCCCTTCAGCCTTGCAGCTCTTCAGGCTCCCCTACTCCACACACAGACACAACTATCACGTGTACTCCAAGATGTCCACACACCCGCTTTCATGCCCACCACTGCCATCGTCCCATAGACGGCTGCCTGCCCCTACCCGCCCAGTCCCTGCAGCTCACTCACCCAGTGCAGGGACCCGATGCAGACCTTGGCAGCCATTAGGGGCACAGTGGGGTCCGAAGGCCGTAGCTTTGCACACTCTCGCAGCAGCGACACGGCGTAGGCGGACTGCGGGAGGCAGGCAGGAAACACTGTCACTGGCAGCCCAGGGTTGCCCCTCCAAACAGCCAGCCCTTGCTCTGCATTCCTCTTCCCCGCAAGAGTCAGGAAGATAGCACATTAGGAGCCCAGGCTGTTTTGGTAGCAAGTCCCTCCTTGAGACTCAGTTTCCCCATTTGGAGAATGGAGGCTGTGATTTTTGCCTTTGGGTGATATGATGAGGAGTTAACATGACAACTAATGGAAGCTCTTTAAAAGGAATTCAGGTTTGACCCACACAACTTCTAGGGATAGAAAAGAGCTCTGTCAAACTCTGAGTTCAATACCTTCAGTTTATAGATGAGGAGAGGAGGCTGAACCCCCGTGAGGACTTGGAGGCAGGGCTAGGACATACATCCAGGTCATGCAGCAACCAGGGTCAGTCCCACTAAATGAGTGGACCTGCTCACCCTACCATGTGCCACCCTATAGCCCACTCACCAGCGTGGGGCAGGGGGTATGAGAGAAGGAAAGACTAGCAACTGGCAGAGGAGGTGGAGAAGGGAAAGCAAGCTGGCAGAGCCCAAGACAACCTTCAAACTGGTATCTGGGAATCCCCCAAGGCTCCAGGGACTCAGCCATGGAGATGGGTCCAAACCAGATCTGTAAGGATGGCCAAGTGTGGAGGCAGGGTCTGGGAGCAAAGAGTATCCAGAGCCAGGTAGGGACAGTACCAATAACAAAAGTGGTAAGGAAAAAAGTAGCTAACACTCAGCTAGATCTTACTAGGTGCCAGCCATTATTCTAATTCAGGGGTCAGTAATCCACAGTTCACAAGCCTAATCTGGCCCTGTGCTTGGTTTTATAAATAAAGTTTTACTGGAACACAGCCATGCCCATTCATTTACATGTATCTATGGCTGCTCTCATAACACTATGGTAGTGGAGTAGTGACAAAGACTATGGCCTACAAAACAAAACAAAACATATTTACTATCAAAATCGAAAAAGTTCTGTTCTAAGTATTTTACAAATATTAAGTCATTTAATCTTCACAGCACTCCTATGAGGTGGTACTATGTCCTTGCTTTGCAGATGAGGAAACTGAGATGCACAGAAAGTCACACAGCCCATAACGCTGAGCTGGGATCTGAACATAGTCTGGCTCTAAAATCTGTGTCCTCAGCCACTCCCTTATGCTACCTCTGTGATGACTACTTTGCCCAGGGAGGAAACTCTCCCCCTTCCTGCTACACACACAAACATGCATGCACGCACACGCACACACACATACACACACACTCAGGGCTGAGACCTTCTGAATGAGTCTAAAGCTTTTCCAGGAAATGCTGCAGTGACCCTCCCAGTGTGCACATTCCTGTCTCTGTGTGCCACCCAGTAGGCAGGCGCACTGCATACCTATGGCATTTCCCATTCCCTGGGCCCTTACTATTGGCTGAGCTCTTACCCTGTACCTCCTGCTCTGGTGGTACAACTGAGGAAATGGCAGCTTAGGAGGCTCAATTATCCAAAGTACTCCATCTGGGGCCCAATAGGCCTGCTGTTCACCCAGACCCTGGCCTCTCTCTGGCTATCCCATTCCTTTCCTGCCACCTGAGGAAGAGCTTTTCCCAACTCCAAATATAGGTAGCTTTCCTGGCCTCACAGGCCTGGCTCAGCTTATTAGGCCAATTCCAGGTGTCTTTACCAAGGGACTTCTCTGTGCCCAGTACGAGGCTAATAGTTCACTGTGGGAAGGGGGCAGTTGCCATGGCTCTTGCATAAAAGGACCCCACAGAAAGGCTGGGGAGCGAAGACAAATGTCACCCTCTCTCATGGCTCTCCCTGGAAACAAGAAGATACAAAATCAAGCACAAGAGGGTGGTAGCAGATGACTTGTTCCAGCAGTCCAGGAGACTGAACTGCAGTACCTGGTGTGGGCTGGAGCAAGGGAGGTATGTACTGGGCTTCAAGGATGCCAGGCCATCTACTCTCCCAAAACTCTCCTGTGAATGCCACCCCCACATGCCCTCCAAGGGGGGATTTAGGAAAGGATAGAGGGAGTGATGGAGGGTGAATGGGAGGCAGCTGCAGGAGGGGTTCCTCAGCCCCTCACCAATACCCCTCCGTCCACACACCCCAGCATGCTTCAGACCCCTCCTCAGTACCCTCCTCTAGGCTGCTGACCTTTGAATCCATAAAATACAGGATTCCCTATCCCTAACCCTGCATATTCCACCCCCACTCCTCACCATCCCATCCCCATGAGGCGCAAAACAGTGCTATTTAAGGAGCCATCTGAGGACTCAGCACTGAGCAGCAGCCAGCTCTTTTTCTTGTCATGCTAGTTACCTAGCAACACAGCCTATGTTTTCTTAAGGAGATGGAGAGAAGAAACGATCTAATCATGTCAGGGAACTCATTCGTTATTCCTACAGGGTGAGGTGCCAGATACATTTCTATTGACGCAGCCTCACCTTCTGGAAGGCCTCTCAGGCACAACCACAGACCCCTGATTCCCACTTCAGGCTTGTGGCAAAGGCACGGTCTAGCCACTATGCTCCAAGGGCTCCTGGGACAATCAGGAGGCCTGCTTTGGTGTGCAGGGTTCCTGAGACGGTACAGAATATGCTTCCAGAACAATCTCCTGCTGTACCCAGTGCACTAGGGGGAAGAAGGTGTAACCCAGTGTCTGTAGCATGTGAGGTCCTTACATACAAGGAGCTTACTGACTGCCCCAACTTCCTGCCAGTAAGACCATTATTGTGCATACTTTACACAGAAGAGAGTTCCCATGTGGTGTAGATTTTTGCTCTTCTGCTAATCAAAAGGTTGAAGGCTTGAGTCCACTTAGGGGCACCTTGGAAGAAAGGCCTAGTGACCTAATTCTGAAAAATCAGCCACTGAAAACCCTATGGAGCACAGTTCTATTCTGACACACACGGGGTCACCATGGGTCAGAATCAACTCAATGGAACTAAGCTTACATAAAAGAAATTGACAAGCTGTTGGTCTGTGCTGGGCCTGATGGGGAAACTAGCTCCTCAGAGTTTTGTGTGGTGCTAAGCGGTGTCTGGACCTCTCTGAACCTGTTTCTTGGTAGGGAGGTGGTACAAGACTCCTTACCTCTCAGGCTGATGTGATACTTCTGCCACTAGGGGCTTTCAGGAGCTCCCTTAGAAATTAAAGCTAACCTGTATGTGTGGTGCATTTTTCTGAGGTGGGGTCTCCAGTTCTCCTTAGCAACTCAAAGGGGTCTGTGACCCACCAAAGGATATGAACCACTGCCCTGACCCTCTCTTCCTGTGATGCTCAATACTGCAAGATTGTTGTTGTTGTTATGTGCTGTCGAGTCAGACTCGACTCATAGTGACCCCTCCTTGTGTTTCCCAGGCAGTATCAATACAGAAGTAGATTGCCCAACCTTCCTTCTGAGGAGTGGCTGGTGGTTTGAACTGCCAGCCTTTTGGTTAGCAGTCAAGTGCCTTAGGCACTACGCTACCAGAGGGGCACTTTATTACCAGAGGAAGGAAGACTGCCATATGACACTGTGGGCTACAGTCCCGACTCCACAAAAGCTCCACCTCCACCTCCTCCCCTCACCCTTCCTGCCTGGCAGGTTGGGGCGTCCAAGACCTTCCTCTGCCAATACCATATCTTACCTTTCTAGTCCCCTCACCTCTGCTCATGTTGTCCCCCTTGCCCAGAATGCCATACCCTCTTGCTTTTCTCCATCTATCTAAATCCTACAGCTCTAAAACTCGGAATCATAAAAAAAGAGACTGGGCTTACTGGTCTAATAGAAACTCCAAAGACCATTGCCCCTAGTCACCCTTTGGGCCTGGAACTGAACTCATTCCTATGATTTCCAGCCAAACAACAGACAAACACACAAGGTAAACACTTACACCAGGTAGGTATACTCTTTAAAACAATCAATCCTGGGAGACCAGAAGGGCAGTATTCATGCAGGGAGATAGCTCAGAGGGCAGAAATTCATAGGAAAGAAGGACACAGGGAAAAGATAACCATATGGTGGAAGTGGGAAGAGAGCTGTTAAAATATGGGGATTGCAATCAATGCCATGAAACAAAATGTGTATGAACTGCTGAAAGGAGAATGAATTTGCTCTGCAAACTTTCACCCAAATCACAATTAAAAAAAAAAAAAAAAAAATCCCACAGTTCCTCAGGTGAGTTTCTCTTATTTGCTAACTCCTGGAGGGCTAGGGTCTCACTGACCCTTAAGGAAACCCTGCTGAACACTGAGCAAGGGCAGATCACATTGTAAATTCAAGATGTTCCAGGAGGTGGTTGGTAGGGGTGGGGGTCTGAGAAGACACATGCCAGAAGAGGGGGCAGAGAAGCTCCCCACTTGATTCTGGGCTGGACTTCCCTAGCCCGTGCATCTATCAGGTTGTAGCTCCTGCCCAGTTCTCCTCCCCGCTGGGGCCTGGCCCTGACTCCAGCACAGCTTCCACTGAAGGAGGAGGCACTGCCAAGTCTGGGTGAGCCCTCTTCAGAGATCGCACAGATGGGCAGGAAGGAATTCCCTCAGCCCATGGTAGGGCTTGGGGTATTTACAGCAGTTGGAGCAATCTGCAAGCTCATGCCACCTTCTTTCCTGGATTCGTAGCAGCCTCAGCCCCAACACCTCAGCACCCATCCCGGGAAAGGTTTTCCTTTCATGTCACTGCTTAAAATAGAGGCTAATATAAATACAATGCTGATCTGAGGAAAAACTAAGGGGTGTTACAACAGGGGGCTTGGTAGAGGGAGGATGAACACAAGCCCTGGCTACCTAGGATAAAGCGAGCCCCTTGCTTTGGGTGAGGCTCCTCCTAAACCTGTCCCCATCCAGTGCCCTTGACCTTGTCCATCACTCAGTTCTCCCTCCAACTCTCTAATGGAAGCTGCTGGTCTGTGTCACTCTTCCACCCCTCCTGGATCCTTGGGCAATTCTCCCGAGGCCACACCCAGGGGGCAGGAAGAGAGCTACAGCCAAATGGAACAAAGGGCCTGTCACCTGGAGTCTGCCGCCCCTCACCTTGGCTTCGCCGTCTCATGCAGTAGTACCCATCAATTCACCAGCAGAAAGGGAATGATGTCCCTACATGGGCACACACACTCATGGAAAAACACCCACAGACCCACCCTTACACACTTGGCCACGCCTGTAACTCACAGGGACACTGGACTCACACAGCTATCTTCCCAGTGCAGGGAACTGAAGTGAGCTGGTGAACGATATTTCTTAATCACCACCCTCACCCTCCCCACAGGCATCTTGCACCAAGAAAGACCCTCAGCCTACCTGGAGAGAGACTGAGGGTGAGAGTGTAACCCCCAGCACCCCCTGGGCCTTACCTTCCCACAAGCCACCATGGAGAGGGCCAACTGGTACCAAAGGTGAAATTCTCCAAATGCAAATTTCATGGCTCGTTCTAAGCACTGGGGAGGGAGAACAGTCAGTACTTCCCCCCACTCCATGCCTTTGGGGGGCAATCAATGCCCACATCACTGCCCATAGGAGGCTTCAAGAAGGCTACACTGGTTCTTGCCAGAAGACTCCAGAAGAAATCCTGCTCCTGTCCTTGGTGTGCTGTGTGACCCTGCACAAGTCTCTCACCTTCTCTGGTCCTCAGTCCTCATATCCTTAACCTGTGAATGATGTTACCCACCCTGCACATCTCACAAGGCAATTGTGAAGAGAACCAAATAAGATTTCTAAATGTGCTTTCAAAATCTAGACATCCAACAAAAATAATATAAGCTAACATTCATTGTTGTTATTATGCATAGCACTGGTCTCAGCTTTCTAATGTACTAACTCACTTAATTCCCTCACTAACTCTGGCAGGTGGGTTCTCTAATTGCTCCTCCATCTTACAGATGAAGAAAGCTAAAGTCACAGGGCCCATTAAGTAGCAGAACCAAATCTGAATCAGGAGTTCTGACTCCAGAGCCCAGGGACATAAAGCCTCCCCTATGTAATGGCTTTTCTTCCCTTTGCTGTTCTCTATAATGCCACAGAAAACAGACTGGTCCACTGGCCTAATTCTGGGTGACCCAAAATCAGGGGCTCCCTGGTGAAGTCAGATGGTCCCCAAGATTCCAGGAGACTGAGTCAGGGCTAGCATGTCAGGACAGGGTTCATAGTGCCACCACTGTCAAGTGGTGTGGGATGCAAGGCAGGGGTGCAGGGCCACCCAGTGCACAAAGGCCTGAGTTAGCATATTGGCTCAACATGCACGTCAAATGTAATCTTGGACAAAAATACCCCACCTCTCTAGGCCTCAGTCTCCTCCTTTATAAACCTGAGAGAATACCACTTACCTCCCCAAATCAAACATGGTTACATGAGAAAGTGCCTCACATGAGTGGGGCTTGGGATACGTCACTGTCCTTCCTTAAGGAGCCCCTCTAAATACACAGACAGAGACTACTGTCAAGAGGCTGGCCCGTTCTCTTCACAAGGACACAAGGTCCCTAGGCCCACTTTCAATCCTAGCCAGAATATGAAAGCTCAAAAATGTGTCATGTGTCCTGGCAATAGGGGAGCAGGAGGAGAGGTGGGCTACTGAGTGTCTCTCAGTGCCCCTACCCCAGGGAGACACATGCCTTGGACAGAGCCCACTGGCCTGTCAGGACCCTAGGACAGCTTTCAAAGAGGGGTCTGCCAGCAGAATGGGGGTGCTCTGTGTGCCTGGGTAGGAGGTAGGCCCCAGTCCCCAGTGCCCAATACAACCTTGGCTCAGAACCTTGCTAGAAGATGGTCACACATACCAGTGTCTTCTCTATGGAGAACTAAGGGAAGGGGGTGTCAATTTCCTACAATGATTATGTATTATTTTCAAAAGAAAAGAAAGACATTCAGTAGCAGAAAACAAAATGACTACCAATGAGGGGCAGTTATCTCCTCACTGAATGGGAGTAGGCTCAAGCTTGGGTCTCCCCAAAACTGAGCCGTGCCACCTGGTGGAGGTGGAGAGGGATGAAGGGGCTCTGTCTGATTTTCTTTATGTGCTGCACGACCCCTGGGGAAGGCAGGTGGGCGGCATGCCGTACCTCTGAAAGCATAACATATTGGCCCCTCCTGCCCAGTGTGATGCTCAGGAGGTCGTAGATGGCTGCGGCATTCTGCAGGCTCACCATCCGGTCCTCCTTCTGCTCTGGCGTCCGGCTCAGCACCACATCCCGAGTTGCCTATGAGTGGAACATGGTTTAGGAAAGAGTGAGGCTGAAAAACAAGGTGATGCCTGCATAGGGCCCCCCTCATCAGCCCAGTCACCATCACCCTTCCATGGGGGACCCAGGCCTGGCAGATGCCTCATCCCGAGACTTCCTTTTCTCACCCCCACTCTCGCTCCCATACACACCCTCTCTGAAAAGAGAAAATTCTTCTCCTTTTGTCTAGGTTGGGGTAGGGGAGAGTAGGTTCTGAGGGCTCAAGCTCCTCGTATTTAGTGTTTTATTCTGAAAAAAACTTCAAACCTACAGAGAAGTTGCAATACAATAACCATAAACCTTTCAGCTAAATCCATCAATCATTAACATTTACAACATTTGCTTTGTCTCTTTCTACATATAATATATACTATTATTATTTTGCTGAATCATTTGGGAGGAATAAGATGCATCACCTCTAAATACAAGAGAACATTCACTCAGAACCACCAAAAAAAAAAAAAAAAAAAAAACCTACTTTTGTCAAGTCAATTCCAACTCATAGCAACCCCATGTGACAGAGCAGAACTGGCCCACAGGGTTTTCTATGCTTTAATCTTTATGGGAGCAGACTGCTAGGTCTTTTCTCCCATAGAGTGGCTGGTAGGTTAGAACCGCTGACCTTTTGGTTAGCAGCCAAGTGCATAGCCATCAAGCAACCAGAGCTCTTAAAGAACCACAACGGGAGTGCCAATTCAGGAACCACAACATTGACGACACTATTACCTACTCCCAGTCCATGTTTGAATTTCATCACCTGACCCATTAATGTCCTTACTCTTTCTCATTCCAAGATCCACTCATGCTCTGCATTCAGCAGCCACGACTATTTCTCTTTAGTCTCCTTTCATCTAGAAGAGTCCCTCAGCCTTTCCCGGTCTTTCATGACACTGGTGTTTTTGAGTACACAGAGCCGATCTTAATGATACGGACAGAGTAAAGCTTTCAGGACCTCCATTTGCTGATGTGGCATGTCTCAAGATGAGAAGAAACAGCTGCAAATATCCCATTAATAACTGGAAAAATGGAATATACGAAGTATGAATCTAGGAAAATTAGAAGTTGTCACAAATGAAATGGAGTGCTCAAAGATTGATATCCTAGGCATTAGTGAGCTAAAATGGACTGGTTTTGGCCATTTGGAATCAGACAACCATATGATCCACTATGCCAGTGCAAAAATGGCATGGAGGCCACATGTTCTGACCTCCTCTAACCCTACAAGGGGAAGGCAGGATTACCAGCAGTAAACCAAGGCCCATTACTGTAAGGCCAGACATGCTGCCTCCCTCCAGCCCTTGCTCCAACCGTTCTTCCCAAAGCACCCACCACCTCCCTCCTGGGTTCGATAATTCACTGCAGTGGCCACACAGAACTCACGGATTATGGGGTTTATTAGGGAAGCACCAGGCTACAACTCAAGTTCAAGAAAAATGCTCAGTCTCTCTCCCAGCCCACCATCCCTCAGCCAACAGTCTCTCATAGTCTCTTTCCCAGCAGCACTGGTCCCTCGGTGTCTCACTCAGCAATGTGTGTCTCTTACGTCTCTTTCCCAGCAACGCGTGTCTCTTTCAGGGGCGCATGTCTCTTTCGGCAGCACGTCTTCCTCAACCAGCAGTCAGAGAGAGTTCTACCTCCAGGAGGCCTCCTTTTGAGCCCGAAAGGGTCGTTAAACTAGCCAATTATAGCATCAGAACTCTAAGCACCTGAGCGAGAGTGGGCACCTCCCAGAACATTGTTTTGTGCCACTCCCAACAGAAATACTCGAGGTGGACACCTTCAGCAATCAGGAGCTCCTCAGTTGCTCATAGCAAATCCCACCTTGGAGTTTACAAAGACTTATGGGTAGAAAAGCCACACAAAGTAATTTACTACACTGCAGCCAGGAAGGGCAAATTGAAGATGAATGGTGTGGCATTCATCGTCACAAAGTGTTCTGGTTACCTAGTGCTGCTCTGATAAGAATATACCACAAATGGGATGGCCTTAACAAACAGGAGTTTATTCTTATAATTTGGAGACTTTAAGTCCAAGTTCAAAGTGCCAGGCTCTAGGGGCTGGGTGAAAACCCCTCAACCTTGGGGTCCAGCTCTGCCTCCTGCTCCCGGCCCACTGGAGCTGGAGGCATTTCTTCACTCAGACAGCTGTTGGCTGCTGAGGCTGAGAAGCCCCAAGGTTGACATGTAAAAAGGCATAGTCCCGATGTTACCAATCCACACGGCAGGCCATTAACTTAAGTCCATTGTAAGTCCCAAGGTCGGCAGAGCATGGCAGGCTGCTGAGCAACGACACAGCTACATGCAGGGTCCAAGCGTGCCATATGCTAGAGACCATTCTCAAAGCTTCTCCTTATACACAGGAAGCAGACCACATCCCAAAGGCAGCTACTCAGCTGCCTGTGGTAGATCCCACCATGGAGGTGATTGCCAGTCTCATCTTGGGGAATAACTACCACCAGTTGCCCAGCCACTCAACCAGGCCCAGCCAAGTTGACACACAAATATAACCACCACACAAAGAAAGTATCAAGATCTATCCTGAAGTACAACGCTGTCAATGATAGGATAATATCCATATGCCTACATGGAAGACCAGTTAATACTACTATTATTCATATTTACACACCAACCCTAAGCCAAAGACAAGGAAATAGAAGATTTTTTTTTACCAACTTCCGCAGTCTGAAATTGACTGAACATAGAATCAAGATGTGTTAATTATCACTGGTGACTGGAATGCAAAAGTTGGAAATAAAGAATCACCAGTAGTAGGAAAATGTGGCTTTGGTGAAAGAAATAACACTGGAGATTCCATGATAGAATTTTGTAAGACCAACAACTTATTCATTGCAAATACCTTTTTCAATAGCATAAACAATGGCTGTACACGTGGACTTCACCAGATGGAGTATACAGGAATCAGGTTGACGACATCTGTGGCAAGAGGAGATGGAAAAGCTCAGTATCTTCTGCCAAAACAAGGCCAGGAGCTGACTGTGGAACAGACCATCAACTGCTCATATGCAAGTTCAACTTGAAGTTGAAGACAATTAAAACAAGCCTACCAGAGCCAAAATATGACCTTGATTATATTCCTCCTGAATCTAGATACCATCTAAAGAATAGATTCAATGCATTGAACACCAATGAGCAAAAACCAGAGGAATTGTGGGATGACATCAAGAACATCATCCATGAAGAAAGCAAGAGGTCATTAAAAAGAAAAGAACAGACCAAAATGGATGTCAGAAGAAACTTTGAAACTTGTCCTTGAGTGGAGAGTAGCTAAAGCAAGTGGAAGAAATGACAACATAAAAGAGCTGAACAGAAGATTTCAAAGAGCAGCTCGAGAAGGCAAAGCCAATTATTATAATGAAATGTGCAAAGACCTAGAGTTAGAAAACTAAAAGGGAAGAACGTGTTCGGCATTTCTGAAGCTGAATGAATTGAGGAAAAAATTTTAGCCTTGAATTGCAATACTGAAAGATTCTATGGGCAATATATTGAATGATGCAGGAAACATCAAAAGAAGATGGAAGGAATAGAGACACTGTACCAAAAAGAATTGGTTGATGTTCATCCATTTCAGGAGGGGCATATGATCAAGAACCAATGGTATTGAAGAAAGAAGTTGAAGTTGCACTGAAGGAATTGGTAAACAACAAGGCTCCAGAAATTCATGGAATATCCACTGAAATGTTTCAGCCAACAGATAACCCACTGGAGGCACTTACTCGGTTATGCCAAGAGATCTGAAAGACAACTACCTGGCCAATTGATTGAAAGAGATCCATATTTGTACCCATTCCAAAGAAAGGTGATTGCATAGAATGTGGAAATTATCGAACAATATCAGTAATATCGCATGCAAGTAAAATTTTACTGAAGATAATTCTAAAATGGTTGCAGCAGTATACTGACAGAGAACTTCCAGAAATGCAAGCTGGATTTGGAAGAGGACATGGAACAAGGGATATCATTGCGGATGTCAGATGGATCTTGGGTCAAAGCAAAGAATACCAGAAAGATGTTTACTTGTGTTTTACTGATTATGTAAAAGCACTCGATTGTGTGGATCATGACAAATTATGGATAACATTGAGAAGAATGGGAATTCCAGAACACTTAATTGTACTCATGAGGAACCTGTACACAGACCAAGAGGCTGTCATTTGAACAGAACAAGGGGATACTGCATGAATTAAAATCAGGAAAGGAGTGCATCCGGGCTGTAACCTTTCACTATACTTACTCCATTTGTGTGCTGAGTAAATAATCCGAGAAGCTGGACTATATGAAGAAGAATGTGGCATCAGGATTGGAGGAAAGTTCATTAACAACTTGCGATACATGGATAACACAATTTTGCTTGCTGAAAGTGAGGATGACTTGAAGCACTTACTGATGAGGATTGAAGACTATAGTTTGCAGTACGGATTATGCCTCAATATAAAGAAAACAAAAATCCTCACAACTGGACCAATAAGCAGCATCACGATAAATGGAGAAATGACTGAAGTTGTCAAAGACTTCACATTACTTGGTTCTACAATCAAAACCATGGAAGCAGCAATCAAGACATCAGAAGACATATTGCATTGGGCAAATCTGCTGCAAAAGACCTCTCACGTGCTGAAGAGCAAAGATGTCTCCTCTCCTTGAAGACTAAGGTGCATCTAACCCCCCCCCCCCACACACACACAGCCGTTGAGTCGGATCTGACTCACAGCGACCCTTCCTTGGGTTTCCAAGGTGGTATCACTATGGAAGTAGATTGGGCAAACTTCCTTTAACCTAGGCCATGATATTTTCAATCACCTCATATGCATGTGAGAGCTGGACAATGAATAGGGAAGACTAAAGAAGAGTTGATGCTTTTGAGTTGTGGTGTTGGAGAAGAATGCTAAAAGTATCCTGGACTGCTAAAAAGAATATATCTGTCCTAGAAGAAGTGCAGCCAGAACTCTTCTTAGAAGTAAG